TAATAATAATTAAATTAGTTTAAAATTCATTGTCAACTTATTTTTAGTTTTACAACAAATTTCACACAACTTTTGTATACGAATAGTCTGTAAAATAATTCAAAAAGAAATTTTTGTCCCAAATAAAAAGTAAATTACAACTTCGATTGATTTACCATTTTCTTTTATATTTATTTGCAAATCGAATTCAAAGTCGCAGTAAAGTTTGTTCAAGGTCGCATTTTAATATCCATAAAAAACATATTTCTTCTGTATTTTATTTGCAAAAATAATAGATTCACCATTTCCATTACACAAAAGAGTGTAATAAAAATAGATGTGGTGAAATCCGTGCTTTTGTACATTCATTTGTAAGATGTAATAAATTTAATTTGTTTGTCGGAAACCAGATTGTCTTTTGACACGAGAATCAATATTTGTCTTTTGTTTGAACGAAAATAGAACATACACCCATAGACCTTATATTACAATGTATAATAATTACATGAGCAAAAAAATGAGATGAAAGAAACTGTGACGTCACATGTCTGAGCGAACATTGCCGACGACAAACGCGGAATAATATATTATCTATTGTGATCACTGATAATTTTGTAAGAAATGATATTAATAATATTTATCATAAAAGTTATCAAATAATATCTAGGTAACAAATGGCATGTGACATTTTTGACACATATGTATCGAAAATTATTATTATTATTTTTATTACTATTATTATTATTATTATTATTATTATTATTATTATTATTAATATCGTACTATTTCTATTATTGTTATTTTGTTATATTTTATTATTTTTCTAGTATTATTTTATTATTCAGAAATTTTATTTATATTATTTATTAATTTTATTTTTATTATTATTTGCTTATATCATATTACGGATATTATTTCCATGTAAATTTTATCCTTTGCACTTTTATTTATTTTAATTTATGTTATTATTTATCAATATTACTTGATGTTAATAATTTAGCAGTTGTAATAATTATTGAAAATATATAAAAAAAAATGTATCAAAAAGTTCATGCAACTTTCCATAGATTAAAATGCTACTTACAACTAGTTTTTATTATTTGCAAGGTTATTTTACTAAGATTTTATAATACCTGAATGAATTCAAATTATCACTTGTAAATATAATTAAATTAAATTATTCGACATTAGAATTTCTTTTTACATTAAAATTATTATTTGATTTACTCATCAGTAGAATCAATTTTTCAATAACACTTTTTAATATATTTTATTAATTTTATTCTCAAAATCTATATCTAAATCTAAATCTTATTCCAAAAGTTTGCTCGTCAGTAGACTCCCCTTTTTATTTAAGTAATTAATAATTGTTATTATAATACAATTAATTTATTAAGTAAATTGTTTTCTCCTAAATTATTCAGATTGGTCGTCAGTAAGGTTTCTTATTATCTTTTAAGTCAATGTTGAATTTGCTCGTCAGTAGAGTCCCTTTTTGTCTTTTTTTTTACAGTTTTTAAAGTCACTTTTAATTTTTTTTTCTATTCGCTCGTCAGTAGAGTCCCTTACTTTTTTCTCATTATAATTTGCTTTATTGGTCAGTAGAGTCTTTTTTTCTTGATTTTTTTTTTAATTTTGCTCGTCAGAGAGTTCATTTTTCGTTTTTATTTCAGTTTGCTCCTCAGTAGTATCTTTTTGTCTTTTTATTTCAGTTTGTTCGACAGTAGAGTCCCTTTTATCATTTTAAATCAATTTGCTCAGTAGAGTCTCTTTTATTCTTTTTTATTTTAGTTAAGGTCAGTAGTCCCTTTTTGTCTATTTATTTCATTTTACTCTTCAGTAGAGTCATTTTATACTTTCGGTTTCCTCGTCAGTCAAGTCCCTTCTTGTCTTTCAAATTAAGTTTACTCGTTAGTAGAGTCCCTTTTCGTCATTTCATTTCAGTTTGCTCGTCAGTAAAGTCCCTTTTTGTCCTTTTGTTTTAATTTACTTGTCAGTAGAGTTCCTTTACCCATTTATTTCAGTTTTCTCGTCAGTAGAGTCCCTTTTTGTTTTTTTTTTATATAAGTTTGCTCGTCAGTAAAGACTCTTTTCACTTTTCATTTCAGTTTGCTCGTTAGTAAAATCCTATTGTCTTTTTTATTTTAGTTTGCTCGTCATTAGAGTTCTTTTTCATCTGTATTATTTATGTTTATTCTTTCTTTTTCAGTTTTTCAGTCAGTAGAGTCCTTTTTACTTTATCTTATTTCTCGTCAGTAGAGTCTCTTTTTGTCCCTTTTATTTCAGTTTGCTCGTCAGTAGAGTCCCTTTTTGTCTTTATTTCAGTTTGCTTTTTATTTTGATTTGTTTGTCAGTAGAGTCCCTTTTAATTTTTTTCTCACCATGTGCATCAATTGTCTTTTTTGTATTTGTAAGTAGAGTCCCTACGGGTTGCTTTAGTAAAAATATAGTAAACAGTATATCGATAGACCTTTAATTTTCATTGTTATTTAATATGCTAGTTAGTAGAGTCCTTTTTCTTCCTCCCCATATATTGTGTTCTATGAATATCCTATTCAATTAGTATTTAATACATTACTAAAATAGAATACAATAGTATAGAATAGAATAGAAACCATAATTATTTTTATCTCAAAAATAAGAATTTAAATTTAACATGTCTTCATTAAAATAAACAGAATTCTTGAAACAAAGTCGAACAAACAGAAAAATGTAAGAAAGAACTCTACTGATGTGCAACATTTAATACAAAAGAGGAAGAGGAACTCTGCTGTCGAGCAAACCAAGACAAATCAGGAAAAAAAACTGATGAGCAAACTTAAAGAAAATGTTAATAAACTGACTTGCATGTAAGACAGTTTTCAATCTAAATTATAAAAACAAACAAACAAAATGAATTTAATTACTAACAACCCTTTCACAAAATCCCATTTCACCCAAAACCCAAATCAAATCTATTAATAACTCCTTCCTCCGACATCTGACTTTTAACATTTGTCATTTAGTAGAGTCTTTTCAATTCCAATTTTGCTCGACTGTAGAGTCTCTTTCTCATCGTTTTTTTTTTTTAATTTGCTCGTCAGTAGAGTCCTTTTGTTCCTTTCTATTTCATTTTACTCGTCAGTAGAGTCTCTTTTTGCTATTTTTAATTTTAGTTTGCTTATCAGTAGAGTCTTTTCTTTTTCAGTTTTTCAGTCAGTAGAGTCTTTTTCCCCATTTATTTTTGTATGTTCGTGATAGAGTCCCTTTTATTTTATTCTATTACAGTATGCTCGTAAGTAGAGTCCCTTTTAATTTAATTTAATTTAATTTATTCTTCAGTAGAGCCCTCTTCTCTTTCTCAACAATGCCCCTTTTTTTAATCACTTTTTTCTCAATTTTGCTCGTCAGTAGAGTCCCTTTTTCTTGATTTTTTTTTTAAATTTTACTCGTCAGTAGAGTTCTTTTTTCCTTTTCATTTTGGTTTGCTCGACAGTAGAGCCATTTTTTATCATTTTAAATCAGTTTGGTCATTAGTAGAGTTCCTTTTTCACTTTTTATTTCAGATTGCTTGTCAATAGAGTCTCTTTTCACTTTTTTTTCAGTTTGCTCGTCAGTAGAGTCGTTTTTATCTATATTATTAAAGTTTGCTCGTCAGTAGGGCTCTTTTTCACATTTTTGTTCCATGGATATTTAATTTGCTTGTCGGTAGAGACCCCTTTTAGTCTACAAATTTTCAATTTAATTTACTCGTCAGTAGAGTCCCTTTTTCGTCTTTTTTTTTTTAATTTTTAGAGTTACTTTTTATTTTTCTTGTTTCATTTCGCTCGTCAGTAGAATCCCTATTCTTTTCATTTTATATCAGTTTGCTCGTCAGTAGAATCCCTTTTAGTCCTTTTTCATGTCAGTTTACTCAACAGTAGAGTCACTTTTTATTACAGTTTGCTCGCTATTTAGGAGAGTCCTTTTGTCTCTTTATTTTATTTTGCTCGTCAGTAGAGTCCCTTTTTGTCTTTTAATTTTAGTTTTTTTGTCAGTAGAGTCCTTTTTTGTCTTTTTTTTCAGTTTACTCGTTAGTAAAGTTCCTTTTTGTCTTATTTATTTCAATTTGCTCGTCAGTAGAGTCCCTTTTTCTTTTTATTTTTTTTTCATTCTACTCTTCGTCTTCAGTTGAGCCCTTTTTTGTCTTTTTAATTGAGTTTGCTCGTGAGTAGAGTCTTTTTACTCTTTCTTTCTTTCTTTTTTATTTTAATTTGCTTCAAATAGAATCACTTCTTATATTTTATTTCACTTTGTTCGTTTTAATATAATCTCTTTTTATTTTGATTTCAGTTTGCTCGTCAGTAGATTTTCTTCTCATATTTTATTTTATGCTCGTCAATAGAGTCCTTTTTTTCTTTTAATTTTAGTTTGTTGTCAGTAGAGTGCAATTTCTCTTTATTTCAGTTTGCTCGTCAGTAGAGTCCCTTTTGGTCTCTTTTATTTCAGTTCGATTTTTTTTTCATTTTATTTTCCCACCATGTAATTTAATTATCTTTTTCGTATTTGTAAGTAGAGTCCCTAGAGGTTGTTTTAGTAAAAAATCTAAAGTATATCGATACACTTTTAATTTTCATCGTTATTTAATATGCTCGTCAGTAGAGTTCCTTTTGTTCTTCCCCATGTCGTGTTATATTATTTTACTATTAGTATTAGTATTAGTATTCACTATAGTCAATATTAATATAAAAGAATAGAATAGCAAAGAATAAACTAGAAACACATCTCAAATTAATAACTAAATACCTCCACTGCAAATAACACAATTTACAACCCAAATTATAAAAACAAACAAAAAAATAATTCATTATTAAATTACTAACAACCCCTTTGTAAAATCTCATTTCACCCAAAACCCCACATCAAAAAAAATATATATATATATATTTAATTAAAAACAACCCTCACAAAATCTCATTTTACATCAAAATCTATTAATAACTCTTTCCTCCAACATTTGACATTTGACATATGACATTTAACGTTGACAGTTGATCACTAACCTTGAGCGCAGTTCACCTCCCCGCCGCTCGTCGTTATCCTGTCTCTTTTCTATTTTAGTTTGCTCGTCAGTAGAGTCTCTTTGTTCTATTTTATTTTAATTTGCTCGTCAGAAGTGTCCCTTTTTGTCCTTTTATTTTAATTTGCTCATCAGTAGAGTTCAATTTCTCTTTTAATTTGAGTTAACGTCAGTAGAGTCCCTTTTTTGTATTTATTTCAATTTGCTCTTCAGTAGAGTTTGCTTTTCTTTCTCAACAATGCCACTCTTTTTTCTATCACAATTTTCCCAATTTTGCTCTTCAGTAGAGTTCCTTCTTATATTTTATTTTAGATTGCTCATCAGTAGAGTCTCTTTTTTATTTCAGTTTGATCTTCAGTAGAGTCACTGTTTTTTTATTTCGGTTTGCTCGTCGGTAGAGTCCATTTTTATCATTTTATTTCAGTTTGCTCCTTAGTAGACTCCTTTTTTGTTTTCTTATTTTAATTTGCTCGTCAGTAAAGTCCCTTTTGACTTTTTAATTTCAGTTTGCTTGTCAGTAGAGTCCCCTTTTTT